GTAGATGGCACAGTACTCCGGACCACACAATGATCCGATGAACCCAATGGCGGGTCAACAGAGACTTGATAGTTCTCCGGATGTGAAGTCAGCAGAAGGTCCAACAAAGAGGGTTTATGACCATCCACATCTGGTATTCGCGTAATCGCAGGGACCATTTGTGTCAGGTCGTAGGCTAAAGCAAAGTCGTGAAAGGATCTTCCCGCGTGATCGGTGGTTTCAGAGCCGAGCCAATCGGCATGGTGGGCGTTAAAATCGCCAAGTATCACGATTTCAGCGGTAGGAACCCTTTCGAGCAGGGAATCTGTAGCCATTTGGATGTGCTCAATGAGTCGGTCAGTTTCGGTATTTCCGCTATGGGACCTATACAGGCATGCGTAGATTCGCGGATGGTCATCGCAGTCTACGCGCAGCCAGAGGTTAGATAGGTCCCTTCCTTCAAGCGTCCCGAGGCGACGAGAACAGATATCCTCCCTGACGTACACGCAAACTCCCGCCCGCGGCACAAATGAATGTTCCAATTTGTACCCCGGGTAGGAGAGGTAGGAAGTATCAGCTGGGGAGGAAATCTGAGTCTCGGTAAGAAAGAGCAAGGCCGGCTTCGCAGTCTCTAAATGGTAGTGGACTGCGTTGATATTGGAATTGAGCCCCTAAAATTTGTGAAGTCTACGGCGAGCGTGGACGGGGGTGCCTTTGTTGAATTGCTCCGTTTGCCCCGAGAACGATGACTGTTTTTGTTGAGCGCAGAATTGCCCCCCCAGAATACGAAGGGCAGCCTGTGCGTCCACCACCGGGTGCTGAGTGTCCCGGTGTTGGACGCCCAGAGGGGGATTCTCCACCGCGAGCGCGTGTGGTACCCCCTGGGGTAGATTCTGTTTGTTCTGCACCTTCATATTTCATATGGGGGGATGGGCTCCGGAGTCTCCCTCACCGTACGAAACGCGAGTACAATAAGGCGAACCTATTGCCTCACTTCACGCCGGATTTCTAAGAGACAGTGGTACTGCCCCGGTCGTGCCTGCCCATTAGGCTGAAGCCCGAAGGCAACAGCATGGCACTCCCACTAGGAAGGGGTTGACTGATTGCGCTGATGAAATAACCTCTGTCACAGGTTATTTCACCAGTGGGCGATGGGGTCGTCACGTCCCGACGCCAGAAAACATAGGTGTGTTGCTTAAATTTTGTCAAAATCTTCAACATAATATTCAATTATTGACTCTTGATTAACTCCTGATAACCCCATATTTAAATACTTACATATCGCGTTCGCTTAAGAGAAAATTCTGGGTTTATAGACTGAAATACAAATGTTCCCCAGTTCATAACTTCTTCACTAGGTTTCGCTTATAACAATTTAACTTATTTATTTTACTATAATTGTCTTTGATTTGACATATTGTTATTATTATGTTACATATCTTACAATGAGGTAAATAAATAAATTGTGCGTGTACTAGGTGTACACACGTAAGAAGTGAAACTTCTTTATGATCTTATTTTTCGGAAAATGATCTACTATATGCAACTTTACAGAAATTCGTTAAATTAGATAAAGTTTAACAAAAGGCTTTTATTATCATAGACATGAATACAAATATTTCATTTTACCTTATTACTACGAAGATTATTATAGAATTTCATTAATGGTAATAGAATTATTACTATCATTAAAAACGTGACGATTTGCTACAAAATTTCTCCCATACGTCGATAAAGAAGTTTCATTCCAACGCCGATAAAGAAGTTTGACTTCAAAAAGCAACATGGCGCGTAACCGAAAAATGTGACGCGTAACGAAATAAATTGTGCGTGTACTAGGTGTACACACGTAAGAAGTGAAACTTCTTTATGATCTTATTTTTCGAAAAATGATCTACTATAATATGCAACTTTACAGAAATTCGTTAAATTAGATAAAATTTAACAAAAGGCTTTTATTATCATAGACATGAATACAAATATTCCATTTTACCTTATTACTACGAAGATTATTATAGAATTTCATTAATTGTAATAGAATTATTACTATCATTGAAAAACGTGACGATTTACTACAAAATTTCTCCCATACATCGATAAAGAAGTTTCATTCCAACGCCGATAAAGAAGTTTGACTTCAAAAAGCAACATGGCGCGTAACCGAAAAATGTGACGCGTAACGAAAAATGTGACGCGTAACGAAAAAATGTTACACTAATTTTTTCCCAACCTCGATAAAGAAGTTTCACTTCAAAAAATGTTACACTAAATTTTTTCCAACGCCGATAAAGAAGTTTGACTTCAAAAAGAAAAGTAAGAATTAAGGAGACTTAGAAATTCTTTTTATAAATAGCAAGTCAGCCATCTCGTGAACACTGGCGGCGAAAGTGGAGCACAGAGTTTTGACGAGCATGTTACGCCGATTTTAAAACAAAGTACGTAACATGCTCGAAGCGTAACACGCTCGATGCGAATGCTACATTTCACCTCGTAACTTTGGTCAGTTCCCACCTTTATAGTTCTCTTTTGTTAGACTAAGTTATAAAGTAATACTATATCTAATCCAATTTTCACTTGAAAATACAATTTCTCAAACAACTGCCTCACGGGCATCACGAGGTAGTGATGGATGCTTGATCCGATTTTGTGGATCGTATATATCTCGATCCGAACCGTCTACTGAATCGCTTACATAATCGTTTCAAAAAATCACATGAAATTACAAAATTAATATATTTACAAGATTAATATATTAACATTATAACAGTCACAAGGAATTGCTCAAAACCTCTCCACGGTGGACTAGAAACAAATATCCATTTAACACGCCTGTCTCACATTAATTGTGCATATCGTTTCGGTTATGGTACTGTTAACACGTGTCCAATGTATACAAAAAAACTGATGAAAAATAACTCGGTGGACATTTTCAGCAGCTCCATAGAGACCTTTCGTCGAGTAGTTTTAGCAACCTTGCATTGTTAATTATTTACTATTATTATTATTTTCTTTTTTCTTTCTTTATTTTCTTTTTAAACACCAAAAAAAAAAAAATATTTTAAATAAAACAGTGTTGGATGTTTAATTCATATCCAACCCGAAATTAGGTTTACGTTTAACATTAAGTTTTAAATATTAACCATAGTTCAACCATCAACACTTTTTTTGCATTAAGAGTAAGAGTAAAATGTGCCCAAGTTCCGATCCGAATCTCGGATGTATGCCGAGAATTTGATCTAGAGTCCTTTTCATGAAAGAAGTCCCGCGGAGATTTTTGGAACTAAATTTGACAGGTCGGCCATGTTGTCGTTCGTCGATGTTATCAAGTTCGTTTGTTGTGGTAGATTTTTGTGAGTTTTTAACTAGCTTAGTGCATTTTATAGATTGTTTACAATGCCAAAAGTTGTAAAAAGTTCGGCTTGAGAAATTATTTTGAAGATGAAAGAGTTCTGTGAAGCGGAACTAAAAAATCAATGTGTTTTAATACCACTAAACAATGTTCGGAAGAGAGTCGCCGCCATAACAGGTACTTTTTAGAGTTGCCACATAATATTTTTTTGCTGTATTGATGGGACTTTTATGATATAAATTCATTTTTGCGACAAAATTGAACAAATACATAACGAATGAAACTAGGTAACTGAAAAACATATATTACATAGTACATAAGAATTATAAACTTAAAGTTACTATAATTTTTAATTGTTCATTATTTAATTGTAGGTGTGTCAGAGAGAACTGTATCACAAATGAAGGTATAACAGCGGCGAGTACTTTGAAAAAATTTGTCACCCCGTGGAAGAGTCGCATCCATTCGCCCGCATCCGAATTAGTATCAATATAAAAAAAGAACAATTATATCTACGTGCCAGTGATACTGAAACAGAATCTGATTCTGTTTCCATCCACTCTTCAGACAGTGATGTTTCTATGACCGCTGATCTAAAATTATTCAATAAAACTGTGAATAAAAAAAGGGTGCGTGTACTTATGTACGCGCGTAAGAAGTTATACTTCTTTGGCATTATTAAAAATAGTTTTTGATTGCATGCAAATAATTAATTACAATTAAATAATCAAAGACTGGAAAAGGAGTCATTATAGTCAATTAAATTCAGTTTACATTTGAAAAATTATATAAATAATTATTTATTATTATTCTCTTACATTAAGTGTAACATAAATTCTATTTAGTTAAAAGTATATATAATTATATATTTAGAACATCTCTACCAAACACTAAGAAGTATGTTGTAGCTTTGGCAGTATTGCACAATATAAAATTAATAAATTTCTTTGAAAAAATAATCAAAACTCCTTTATTTGTTTAAAAGGTAAATGACAAATGTCATTATGGTCATTCAAAATTCTTGGCATACGAACTTCACGCATATTCTATTTCTTTTTACTTGTAGATTGTCTTATTCCTATCTCGCTCGCGCACGCTATAATCACACTCCCAATTTTGTGTCACAGGTGCGCGCGCATCGTAAAATTTCACTCTCATAAATTTTTCATAACGCGCCTAAAGAAGTATAACTTCAAAAATTGTAATGCTTTTCTTTACCCTATTTTCTCATCTTATCCCTTTAAGTAGGTAGAACACCGCTTATATAAGTAAATAAAAATATACTTTTTACATAACAGAAATATTGTTTCATAGAAGTATGCAGAAAATAGTATTATTTCATAAATTAAATAAGCTAAATGTAAAATAGGTAAATTTTTGACTTATAAATGGCAACATTACGTGACGCGATTACAGCGCTGCGTCTGGGGGACTTCTTTCATGAAAAGGACTATACATCCGAATTCAGGCGTCCCTACTCCCTATACTGAGTAGTGAGTACTGACAAATGACAATGACGTTGACATTATCGAGTGGGCAACCGGCAACGCAAGAGAATGATTTTGAAATTTTTCTAGTTTTCCACTTGATTTGTTTGAGCGGTTGAACGTGCGCGTGGTGTGGTGTGATCGTGGAACTTGTTCTGTTTTAGTTCATTATAATTTAAATCAAAATGAAGGGTGATAAGAAAGTAGACCTCCAGGCTCTTAAAGATATTGCTAATAAGTTGAGAATCGACAGTATCGTAGCCACAAATGCATCAAAATCCGGGTAAGGAAAATAACCTCATTGATTTTTACCGCTTCCATGAAGGACTTATGAAGGTTACTTTATTAGCTTTTGCTTACGGAATTGTCTTCTAAGTTCAATCTATGGCTGTAGACTATGACACAATCTCACGTTTTATTGAAAATACATAAGTATAAAAAAAAGCATGGCTCTAAGTCAACATAGATCGTTAGAAAACTGCACTACCATGTATCTATTGATCATTTTGATTATGAATTATAGATAAATCACTTATTACCGATTATATCCTATTCAAGTCAGTGTGACTACTGACTAATTTAAATACCCTTCTACTAATCAAGGTAACAAAATCTATGTTCATTTTATGCAAAACCTTTATATGTACTTAAGTACTTTTTTATTCATAACTTTGTATTATTAGGACAAGAAAGGTCACTGATTCTGTATTGAGATTACATAATAGTGTGATAACATATTCTTCACGATATAAACTTAATATGCATATATTTTAATAAGCCGTCAAGAGTCAATAGTGTATGATAAGGTCATTTGAATGTTGGACTTTTATGGCTTTTCATATTACATTTAGTTTTACTTAGCAAGATAAAAATGGAGTTAGCATAAAGGTTTATTATTATAAACTGAATACAGAAGTTTAATTTATTATCCTTATTCCTCAAAAAGTAATAAACATGATGAAGCAGGAAAATAACAACTGTAATAATGACGTAAAATTATTACCCCTTATAAAGTTTGTAACAGATTATATTGTTTTATCGTATCACTTATAAAAAAGTCATGCACATGCACAGCTTTCAAACAGCTACAGTTATTCTGTTGGTGTAAAAAGATTAGTGCTATACTAATTGTGTGTCGTACTCGCAACAATCATATATAGTTGTATGCGGCCAGTAACATTCAGACAATTGTTAAATCTGATTTAAATAGGTATATATTTTAGGTAAATAAGGTGCAAAATTTTATCTGTTTAATATACAATTGATTTAAAAAGTAATAACAGACAATGTGACAATATGGTTTAATGATTGCCATTTTCAACTATAAATTTACTTACATAATGTGTATGTAATGTAACAAAACCTATTTTTGTACTGCAACTTTATTTACATAACTTAAATTATCAAAATTACTGTACTGCAGGCCTACCACTAACAGGTTCAAGTTCTGAATAAATCCAATTCGATTTGATCATGCTTTGTCTATTTATAAATATATATTCCAGTCACCCGACATCATGTGCATCAATGGCCGAGATCATGTCAGTGTTGTTCTTCCACACCATGAAGTACAAGATTTCAGCACCGAGAGACCCTTCAGCTGACAGATTTATACTATCCAAGGTAAAATTTGTGATGAACAACTGTATGTTCAAAATCTGTTGCTATGGTACTATAAAATTATTATATTTTATTCTTAATAGTTACGTCATAATATTACGAATGATATATTATGGAGGTAAGATTCAGATATTAATATACAGTATTAATAAGTACGTCATAATTTATCATTAGAAATAGAAGTTTCATTAACATTTGAGGTCAGAAAGAACCTTGATTCTAATTAAGTTACATTGAGTAATAACAATCTCAGGCATAATTTTAATAATCTTAAGTTAAATGCCAAAGTTTTTTGCTATATTATGATTAAATGATTTGAAATAAATTTCTTAGTGAAGGCAAATATTAAGCTGCTTTCTCATTAATATATATGATTGTCTCATTAATAATTTACGCTAATAGTCAGCACTGCTTCTTACTATAAAATGCATAGCATTATGCATTTATTACAAACAGTGCAACAGAAAATTGTTTGTCGTACTCACCCAACCTACATTGGTTGATGTGGGCAGTAGCATTCAAACATGCAATTACATAAAAAAAACATTGTGGTTCTTGTGTGAAATCCATAATAGTTTTGCATCATTAATTGTGTAATACTATTATGAAAAACTAATGCACAGTCTTATTTTACATATTAAGTAATAATAGTAATAAATCATTAACTTTAAATCCTATTTCTTTCCATTGTTTTAAGGTTAATAAGAGTATAACCTTCACTTAAATTACTTTTTATAGGGTCATGCAGCCCCCATCCTATACGCGGCTTGGGCTGAAGCTGGTCTCTTCCCAGTTGAAGACCTTAAGAACCTACGGAAATTGGACTCTGACCTTGAAGGTCACCCAACACCTCGTCTCAACTTTGTAGATGTAGGTACTGGTTCCCTCGGCCAAGGTCTTGCTGTAGCTGCTGGCATGGCCTATGTTGGAAAGTACTTTGACCAGGCTCCTTACAGGTAAGGTTCGGAAATTAATATACACAATACAAAATGAAGAACAATTCTAATTTTAAAATCACAAAACATACTACTAGTACTACTATTATTAAATAAAGAAGAAAATTTGACAGTAACACAATGGTAATAAAATTTATCAGCATTAATTACATCAGCACATATTGGGACACCTATGTATCTAGTATCTATCATATACACATTAAATCGTAAAAAATTAATTATTATTCACATTATTCAATATATTTTTTTAAGAGCACTGCTTATTTATAAAGATGCATTAAATAATTGTATCTTAGCTAGCAATGCAACAGTAAAGATGTTTGTCGTACTTACGCGACCGCTATCGGTCGATGTGGGCAGTAGCATTCATACATTAATATTTTAATTAAGTCTAAGTACCGTCCCACTATTATTTAGTCCTATTAATTTCCTGTGGCAAGGGGCACATACTGGTAATACGTTTTTTTTGCTAAACCAACACAAATCTCTAGTAAAGGGAAGCTAGGCGCGAGGAAACCGTCAAGTTTGTTCCTAAAAATTTATATGTTTCAACCAAAAAAGGCTGATAACATACTTGCATATCAGCAATGATTTCAGATGAACTGGTTTTAATAACTTGCAATAGTAATCCTGACTTCATTGTTGAGCATCAACAAACAATGTACTTTAGAAGCGGGGCTATTAAATAGTAGGTTTTAGTTTCTATTACATTTTACAGGGTGTTCTGTCTTGTTGGAGATGGTGAGGCTGCTGAAGGCAGTGTATGGGAGGCTTTGCACTTCGCTGGCCACTACAAACTAGACAACCTTGTGGTCATCTTTGATGTCAACAGGCTGGGACAATCTGAACCCACCTCACTACAACATCAGGTTTGCTACATTACTTGCAAAACTTCGCTAATCTTTTTTAATTCATTTGATAAGATAATAAGTTTTTTTTAAGTTAAGACAGTAATTCATATTATTTAATTAATTCATCGTTAAGTTCATGTAACTGTACATATTATAATGATGTTGCTTCTTTGTTGCACAAATAAAAGCGGTTTAAAATAGTTATTGTAATCGTAGACAAGTTGTGCAAAATTAATTAAGCCGTATCAAAAATAACATTTGAAGGTTGTACTTTCATTTGTAACATAATGTATAAATACAAGGTCAAGTAAATCCATTAACAAATGCGTCTACGGTGGCTACAGTTAAAATTTTAAAACATTATGTAAAATATTTAGTATTGGTTTAAAAATGCAAAATATATTCTTTCACGGCAGTATGAATTGTACATCACAGAATTATCATGTATGGTCCAACAGTTAGAGATATTTTACTTAACATTATAAACCCATGAGTTTATAAAAAATATCTTGTCTTGTGGATGATGAATAAAAAATAAACTAGTAAACTTTCTTCAGATGGATGTTTATGACGCCCGTGTAAAGTCCTTTGGTCTGCACTCTCTGGTAGTAGATGGTCATGATGTCTCTGAGCTCGTGAAGGCATTTGATGAAGCAGCCTCTGTGTCTGGAAAACCCACCGCTATCCTTGCCAAGACTTACAAGGGCCGGGGATTCCCCAACATTGAGGATCAAGAGAACTGGCATGGAAAGGCTTTGGGGGGGCGATGGGGAGAAGATTATCAAGGTATATGTTTGAATATTATACTTAAATGTTTCGCTAGGAATCGACCCCGGGACCGCCCAGATTACAACGGACTTACCAACTCGCGAAAGTGCAACTCTCAATAGCGATTTTAATTATGAAACTGTAATAAATGTTTTATTTTATCTATTAGAAATGAATAACCTATACTCTGATTTTTAATTCCGTAGAATTCTGACATTTCAAAGGTGTTGCTACTAAAAAAGTTCTCCACCGAAAATGGGACAAATTTGACTTATTATTGCCCTCAATAAAAAAAATGCTACGTATTTTTTATGTTTTACCTACAAAAGGTAAATCGAAATATTTTCTTACTTAAGTGACCTAATACAAAAATAAAAAATATTTAAATATCACGAACAACATATGGAATAAACTTTAATTACTTTATTTTGTTCTTTAGCTGGCATCACTGCCTACTAATTACAGGTTTAGTAAACCTTTTAAAGAAAATAAAATGTCTTCTTAAGAATCTTTACTTGTGTGTTTTTTTCTGTTTGTGATGAAAAGGAACGTTATTACCACTCGCCGTTAAACCACTTTTAATGTGGAGCACCGCACTTAATAAAATGGGTACATTAACTAATAATAAAATGTATGTAAAGACTGAGATTTTCAGACTCGTATTGAAATTGAAAAATGTGCCCGCCCAAAAAGGTTTGCCATCACTGACATGTCAAAAAATTATAGCTGTTAGAATTCTACGGAATTAAAAATCAGAGTATAACTGCCGAAGAATTGACAAATTGCATCCGCTAATAGAATATAAATTTGTAGCATCTGCAATCCTTGATAAAGAACCAGAACATAACGTTGAAAGCATCTCCCCCCGTGTCAGCTGCCCCGCAAGTGCATATCGCGGATGTGACTCTTTCTTCCCCACCAGCCTACAAGAAGGGAGAGCTTGTTGCCACAAGACTCGCGTACGGAACTGGACTAAAAAAGATCGCTGACACTAACCTCAGGTAAAATAATTTTTTTAAATTATTTATTCTTAACTGTTTTAAAATAATATTTTTTAAATTTTTTATTCTTAACTGTTTTAAAGATGTACCACGTAATAATTGATTTCTAGTTACTCACAACACAGGGTCTTCCTAATGTGGGGACTAGCGATATATGAATTCTGTCACAACCCTTTTGTCATAAATAAAGTTTTTATTATTCTATTATTATTATTATGACGTGTCTTAATTGGTAGTAAATATTTAATATATATCATAATTAAAAATTGAAATTCTTTAGTCCTGCATAAATTATGCTTGTCCTATCGGCAAGGATTAAATTCCATTATATTGTCGTGTACAGGCTTTAGTACCTGCAAACCGAAATTGTTTTCTTCTAAAAATCTTTTCACTAATATAAACAAAATCGCTTGTTATAGCAAATTTTGTATAGTAATATTTGCCAATGCACCACGTAGTATCATAGATTGTGTATAATAAGCGCTCTCTACATACGTAGTGCAAAATTAATGTGTGTGTCGTACTCACACAGCCACCGTTGGCTGATGTGGTCAGTAGCATTCAAACAAGCTAGTTTTATTTTATTATATTTTTTATTAATCTTTGCATGGTGGATGGAAGTAAAATAATACTAATAGGTGTACTTCTTTGCCAGAGTCATTGCCTTGGATGGTGACACGAAGAACTCTACATTCAGTGACAAGCTGAGAGCTGCCTACCCAGAAAGGTCGGTGATATTAAAATATAACTGTTTTAACTTAACTTTTTTGTTTTTCTCAAGTCTAATACCCGCATGTTTGTACTTTAATATAATTTTATTTATTTATTCACCGTAACACATATTATGTGCGTTGTTGTATTGTATATATTAAATTTGCTATGTTATAATTAGACTGCTATTGCTTAATTCGATATCTTAAAAATTATGTTTAGTATCTTTTTTAACATTTCTATAATTGTAAAATTACATAATTTATAAGAAATAATGTTAAACTAATTTATAATAATAATAATTTTTGTTATATATCTTTATCAAAGTCTTAATTACAATCAGATACATCGAGTGCTTCATAGCGGAGCAGACCTTAGTGGGTGTGGCGACGGGAGCCGCGTGTCGTGACCGCGCTGTTGTCTTCGCTTCTACGTTTGCCGCTTTCTTCACCAGAACTTTCGACCAGGTATCATATTTTAACAGTAGTACAGATACCGGCAAACTTTTTGAGCATTAAACAAGGGAGTGGGGAAAACATTCCCGTGTATCAATTTAAAAAAAATTGGTCCTTCGATTCGGATTAACTGTTAGTGTCACACAGATCCGTATGGGCGCTATCAGCCAGTCGAACATTAACTTGGTTGGTTCCCACTGCGGTGTCAGTATTGGAGAAGATGGACCGTCTCAGATGGGTCTTGAAGATATCGCTCTCTTCCGTGCTGTGCCAACTGCAACTGTCTTCTATCCCAGGTATCAAATACTCACTAATTCTGACCCTTGATTTTTTAAATTCAGCACAATAATTTGCTTATTCAAGGATTTTAAAGGAATGTAATTTGTGGGTTCTGATGTTTTCTGTTTCTTAAATGAAACATTTTTTTTTTAATTTATTGGGGACGACTTAACGTCAGTCTTATATTATATATTTTTTGTAGCTTCTTTCGAAATTTTTTATTTACATGACTAGTAAGGTTACTATGACTACTATGTAAAAACCGACTAAATTAAGTAAGATTATAGCAACACTATTCATCAGGATAACACATACACATCTAAATTGTCCTGTTACTTTCTTAGACCAAAATGTACTTCGTTATATTTTGTAAACTAGTAAACATAAAAAATAACATCATAACTTTATTATGTACAGATTGTATATATTGTATAAAGTTACGAAAATGTTTGAAAGCCTGTACAAATTTTAATATATTTACAGTGACGCAGTATCAACAGAGCGCAGCGTGGAGTTAGCTGCCAACACCCGCGGCATCTGCTACATCCGTACTTCACGACCCAACACCGCCATTATTTACGATAATGACACCGTTTTTAAGGTAATTCACAGACATTGCTTTAACTATTATTTTTTTTAGTTATAGCTCTTGTAGTATGGGTACTATGTTGGTATTTTAGATGGGTCTTAGGGTGAGGTTACACACGAGAATTGGCGCTAAGTTTTACTCCGTACAATAATTTATTGGATTTTAACATTCGGGAGTCCAAGGTTCATATTTTCTGAAATTCTAAGTTGAAATCAAGTTCGAAGTAGTATAAACGTTCTTTTCTTGACATTAGAATCAATAATCTATATATATAAAAGAAAAATGGTCTTCGTTTGAGGCTCCTTCACGCCTAAACCACTGATCGTATCGACATGAAACTAAAATTGAAGCGAAATTTTTCCTAGATAGTTTATGGCTATTTATTTATTAAATTCCAACGTTCCTTCATTTTTTTATTGCTGTTTTACTTTTATGAAAATTTATCCATACGGACTTCACCGCGGAAACATTCGGGGCGGCTTCCTAGAACCTCTAAACGTCAACATCTGTTAAAAACTCGATTTTCGAAATATTTCAATTTTCTTAGCGGGAAGTTAAAAAGAAGAATAATAAAAATATGAAAAAAAATAAAATAATGAAACATAAAATTTATTTTAATTCGTCCAGCAAAGCGGGCGCGAAACGGCTAGTATTATATAATATTTTTTTTAGGTCGGTGAAGCCAAGATTGTCCGTGAGTCCGCCAAGGACAGCATTTTGCTGATCGGTTCTGGGGTCACTTTGCATGAAGCGCTCGCCGCCGCTGATCAATTGCAGCAGCAAGGTAATACAAAATTTTACTTGTATGTTTACAGTTTGTCATGTCAATGAGGGTCCGATTCCGTATCCGAAGGACCATTTATATTTGAGAACAAAATTTGTTTTTATGAAGTAACAACATAATTTAAAGCTAGTCGAATATATTGAGTTTATTAACTGGCTAGCACTCGCTATTTAAGTTATTGAATAAGTACACAATATCCTGTGTGAACGAGCAAAAGCATTAGTCAAATGAGGATTTATACTCAGATTTCAATCGTGAATAGTCTGAAAACGCCAATCAACTTAACAATACTAATAAATATTTGATACAGTTCATGGTATTTAAGGTATTATAGTTTTCTTATCGGAAATACTAAATCTTTATATATATGTAAATCTTCTGTGCGTTTGTGTAAAATAAACCCATCTTAAACGGCTGGACTGATTTTGATGAAATGTTTTATATTCTCAAATGGATTCGAGACTGGTTTAGATTTTCAATTAGATGTTTTTTTTTACTTAAGGGAGCGTTCAAGTATTACGTAACGAATTTTAGGGGGGGTGGGTCCTTTTGTAAAACGTTACGATGCGGGCCGGGTATTGAATTACGCGTTATTATTAATATTTTCTTTGACTTTCCAGTACTTTACACCACACAATGGTAACTTTTAGGTATAAAGAGTCACTAGGTGGTCACAGAACGTTTCACTATACTTGGGCACAGAAAAGCGTTACGGCGCGTTACATGGGGGGGGTCAATAATCTCCAAAAATTGCGTGACGTAATACTTGAACGCGTGTACAGGACAACGTTTATCGAGTCTGGTTGTAATGTTTATATATTTTATGGGGTTTGTAAATTCCCTATTTTGTTTGGTTAAATCTTTGACAACTAGACTCCTAAGCTTATTCGTAAATTTTTAGGCATCAGCGCACGTGTGCTGGACCCGTTCACAGTAAAGCCCTTGGATGAGGCCGCTGTAAGAGCTCACGCGCACGCTGTTGGTGGAAGAGTGCTAGTCGTTGAAGACCACTACCAGGCTGGTAAGTGCTTATAATTTTTAAATATTTTTTTGCTTATATAAAGTATCAACGAATATTTCATAATCGTAGCGTATTTTTAAAATTATTTATAACATAGATACAAAGAATGTCAATAAAATAATTAAATGTGTTTAAACCAATGGCGTGAAACGGACGCAGAGATATGTCTGTCATATGTCCCAATTGAAGATAAGGAACTTCAAAACTACTTGTATTTTTTTAAATTTCGCAGCCCATTATTTAACGGAAATGGAAGCCATGCAACGCCAGTAAATAATTTATTTTTCAGGTGGTCTCGGTGAGGCGGTGTTGTCCGCTTTGGCTCTGGAACGATCAGTGGTCGTACAGCATCTCTACGTAAAGGAAGTCCCACGATCAGGTCCGCCCCAGGCTCTACTCGACAAATATGGAATTTCATCCAAAAACATTGTCGTCGCAGCTGGCAAACTACTGGCTGTTTAAATGCTGCAAACCTAACTGACCGAACACTAGGACAGGGTCAAATATGTTTGTGTCATTTATTGGTTTAAAAGTCTTTTCAAAAAGGTCTGAGTTAGTATTTAAAATGAGAAAATATGTTAAAAATGAGAGTTGAAATTCTGAATTCATTCCAAACTGCAATATTAAGCCAAAATGCTATTGTTCCTGTTAAATTACAACCATAGACTATGCCGTTGACTATGGTTTCGTTCCTTATTCACCGCACGCATATTCCCGTGTCTGCGGTGGCCACAGAATGCATATTTTTATACATAGGTTATATTATTTTATACATATATATTGAGGATTTTTATACATTTATACGGAGTGCCTTAGCGAGGGTTTGGGCGATATGGGTAGTTTTAAGGATAATGTATTGCACATCTTTTTTATATTTTATCTATATTTTGAGTGATGTTTATATGTTATATAATGTTATGTATGTTTATGTAATTTTATATTTGCTTTGTTCGGGACCATCTGTTGATTTTTTCTATAATGGGCAGTGTTTAAAGGAACAATTGTCTTCCCTAAGAACAATAATTACACATTGAGTTAAAATTGTTTATTGGTTTACATTCCTTTTGCATTTACTTTGTAAACGCGTTAATAAACTTTAATTCAGTATAAAATGGTGTTTTAATTAATTTAACAAAATGACTAGATCCACTCTACATTATGTACATATAAATAATGGCAACCGTACACACAACCACATACACAACTTTGTTTAAGGATGGAAAAGTTAAATTCAAAATAACACGTTTTTAACAAATTAAAACTCACTCTTAACTGTCTGCGATTATTTTAGTAATTAGTTAAAATATAAATAGTAAAAAGAGGTTTTATATGACTAGTTGAGTAAGTACTCTTTAAAAGAAATAATTAAACTAACCACCACATTTTCAAGTCTTTAAAACAGTCAACACACTGTTGATTATATTTAAAATTATTTCTATGTTCACACTACAATGGACGGAAACGCGATTCTCAAATTTCATCTCACTATGTAAGTTAAATGCAACGACCGGCGGCGGTCGACAAGTCTAGCCATGAATACTATCTTCCAGTCATCACCCCCATTCTCCAGCCTCATTGGCCGTCGTGGTGGCCTGTCCTTCCTTCTCTTGTGCCGTCCTCTCTTCTAATTCACCAGGAAGATAGTCCTTCCAGCTTCTAAACAGATATCTCGTAAACTTTCTCAATTGCCTGAACTTGCAATAGGTAGCACCTTCTGCGGACTGCAACTGTTGTGTCTGTATTAAAAACCCCTTTTCCTTGAATGCCTGTTCCAACTTCTCCCTTTGTAAAGTCTTTCTCGACTTTCTCTTCTTCTTGCTGAGTTCGTCTTTGAGCACCAAGCTTTTCTGTGGTGGTGAAATTGATGGTGGTGGTGCTATCGAATGTATCCTCTCTTCATTGTTCTTTTGTATGTAGTCATAGCCCTTTGTTCCTTTTGTACCAGTTCCACTGTAGTACCTAAAGTTACCGCCAGAATCTACAGAAAGCATTTTCTTTTCTTGTAGTGATGGTTTCGAGCCTCCAGTAAATTTAAATTTGCAAATACTAACTTCAGTAGTGGGCGTCGACGAGTTGCTCCGAGCAGGCATTGGTGGAATGAAAATTGCTGATCGCTTCCTTTTTACAGGGCCTTGATTCGGATTCGGTGAAACTCTTTTTTTGGTTGGCTCTGGGCTTTTATCCACCGATTGTGGAATCATTTTAGGATCTAGAAGTTCTGAAATTTGCTTCAATACTAGTTTATTTTTATTTTCATCAAGTGACTTTTCTGTGGGACTGTTAGCACTTGTTTGTGTTAGTTTATCTCTGTCCTGAGTTAGTGGCAACTGTCCAGCAGCCGCTAGCTTCTGGTAATAAAGAAGTTGTGTTTGTAATGCCAATGGATGCATATATATGCCAGCGTTGGGCCAATACACGTATCCAGGAAACTTTTCATCATCTGCATTGGTAGTGGACTGAGCCGGTTCAGATAGGGTGGGAGAGACAATTCTCGTCTGGTGTGAAAGGTCAGGCGAGCTGCTGGCTGTGTGAGGAAGGTTGGTGTTCCTCTGTATAACTGATATGGCGTTAGGTTGTTCACTCTTTATGCTATCTAAGTCTTCCTCAATTTCAGTTTTGATTTCTGGCGTTGAAGTGTATATATTTCCAAATTTCTTTTGAATCTGTATTTTTAAGTCTCTAAGATCTCTAATACATAGATTCAGGGGTTCATCATCGCTGTGTAAGGGTCCAGCGGTAGTAAGTGGTGCCTCCGGCATAGGCTCGTCTGGACTACAAAATTTGGGAGGCGTGGGATTCTCTAGTCTTCTTTTGTTTTCCTGTGACAGCTTTCTTTCTAATAAACTTGTAATGATTTTGTTCTGAAGATTTGTTTTAGTAGGGAGCGGCCGTATTTCTGAACTGTTGGCACGAAGAGCCTAATTTATCGCCGGGCGGAGGCTGGCCGGGTACTACTGTTCCATAGTTTTCGTATATTAGATGGCAGATATCAGCTTTTTTTGGTTTTCGGCCGCGCCTGGGCTTGGAATTATTAAGTGTCATCTCTCCCATGTACGGCAGGTCGTCGTACGTCATAATTTTACTCGGAGCCACTGCGACTTTTTTCTTCTTGTCTTCTTTGGTCTTGGACGTCATGTTGGCCGCCGCTTGAGTAACATTCCGATTTCCGTCATTTTGTACGCCAGCTAGACGCTGAGCCCACAATTTAAATGCTTCATTGGTAATGTTAACGTCGCCTTGCTCTTTGACTTTTTCTTGTGGTTTTTTCTTAGTTGAAGCCTTGAGGCTTTGCTCGTAATGATCAAGATATTCCTGTGGCAAAGCTTGGTGGTGAAATTTGAGCTTCCACCTATTCTTCTGTCTGTTCCGAATTTGTTTAACTTTTGGCTCCACTTTTTCGCTGTTACGATCTTTGCTAGATGATAACAGCTGTTGACGAAGCAATTCCTTATTTTCTGATAATCTGCAATATAAAAATCTCTTTTAAGTATTACGATTGACGAAAACAATCAATTATCAATTATATACTTTAAACATAGGCTATACATACTATAAAAATTATATGAGATTTCGAATTTCATAAATATGGTTATAACAAGTATAGGAAACATTTCCAAAGAATAAATTGTGAAACGAACCTGTTAGTCGGCGGTAGGGGCGCAGGCGCAGGACACCCTTCGCCGCACGCCACCCGACGCATTACTTCTGTAAACAACACACAACTGTCATACAAAAGTATAATTTTTAATAATCAGGTCATTTATTGTTAATACTGGAAATCCCATCCTAACACTATAATTACAATAGGAGTATATATCTAAATGTCAGGATAATATTTATCGGAAATTTATATAAAATAAAGTGATTACCTAACTTATTACAACATACTAAAGATACATTCATTTTCGTAATGTATAAGGAACTGAGTTTTTGTAAGAAGTATAAAATTAACTCAACATCCGCATCACACGGCATTGAATCTGTCGCCGCGCGTAAATAATAGATCTATGAATACCACTGTTCGTTACTCCGATAGAAGGATGTAAATAATATAGCATTAAAATATATTGAAAAATAATGAATATTTTACCATTTGAAACAATTTTTTTTAAGTAAACCCTCCAAGAAACCCTTTAGACATTCATGGTTCGGATTTTTATGACTTAAAGCGAGTCATCCAATTTTCGGCAAATTACCAGTCAGCTCCAAGGCGTAAGCCGACATAAATACAGAATTCTATTAATATCTCATGTTTTAGTGCAATATTAAAATTACTAAGTTCACGGCAATAAATATCTAACATTCAAATGGCAATAATATACAAACCATAATATCAAATACGTAGTTACTTTAACGTGAAATTAATGTTCAATAAATTCAAACATATCCGTAAAAGGAGTTTTATTAATATATTATATTTCGTTTAAATCAGCATTATTAAAAAGTTAACCTTAACATAATAATTCCTTACTAATTAAAATATGGCGCGTAAATAGAATGTGCGTACAACTGAATGGTAAGTCGTAATAGCACCTAAATATGTTATGTGTCAGTCAGTCAGTGTGTCCGAATCGGGAGCTCGTGAAACCCGAGTGCCGCCAGAAATATCCGCGACTTGCTTTACTCGCAACTTTCGCAATCCGCGACTCTTGTATGTAGTACATACAAAAGTCCAAAACTGAAATGTTTATGTCGTGAATATGAGATAAAGTTTAAACTTAGATCTATACTAATTAAAAAAATATTTGTGTCTGTATACAAAGAGATTGATTTATGAACTATGGGGTGTTTTATTTTATTATCAAAAATATAGTAAATAACTAACTGAGCAGCGAATAGTTATTTTGTTGTCATAAGGAACACGATTCGACCCCGCAGTTAACCGAACAAAGCTTTTTTATTTTTATTTAGTTTAGATAAAATTTACGAACAACACAACATATTAGTAACCTGTTAAAATAAACTGATGAGTTTTATTATATTCGGCTTGTAGTAACTGAACTGAATCAGATAGTTTTCCGTCGATATATTAAAGGGCGAAAGCATAGTAATTTAGCTATGTAACATATAGAGTAATTAAAAACTGTATCTAAGTAGTCATTAAAGACAAACCTTTATTTGTTTCGCTAATCGTATTAGTGTTTCGCTAGTGTTAAATAGCAATAAAAAATAATATAATTTAATTAATAACAGTGCAGATAAGATATTTTTTTCTTAACTCTTTATTTATTGTTGATCAAACTTTTATATGATAGCCGTGCGTGGGGAGTCACCTAATACGTTAATATTACGATCACAGCGTAGAGATGATTATTTTAAGACTATATACATGTGATTCACCACAACAATAGCTCCTTATACGGCGGTAATAATAACTTGAATTATTTCGGCACTTTGAATTATCGTCATAATGTGACTCATTCTCATTTTTTATTATCCTCATTATTTATCAAAATTTTATTTTAATTTTCGCTGAAAGAAGAGTGAAATTTGATTATAATTACGCTTATAAAAGTAACCATAAGTTTAGAACCCTTTTGAAAATGATACCGATTACCGACTTGCAATGAAAAAAAGCAGAGAATGAACCGAGTTTCCAAGTTTGCAAAATGAGAAGGAATATTATACAAAATATTTCATGTATTTCTGGTGCTTTCCTCGCTCAACGAATAAGTATAGACTGCCAGTATCTAATACAGGGTACATTAAAGGGACCAAACTTTATAAATTCGTTTAATTTTCTATTTATCCATTTAAGGCTAAAAATAGTGTAAACACTGTATTTTGCGTATTGGAAATAAATGCTATTGCTATCGATTTTTGAAGCCGTATATCGGTACGCAACTTGATAGCGCTCTTTCTTCGATATGCTACATAATTAATACAAAGTTCATATCACATAAAACCAATTATTTCCATGAGTTAGAATAAAGAAAAATAAATTGTATTTTCTTTAGCAACTATCACTGAAATTGTTTGGAAAAACAAATGCGATTGATAACCAATATTTTCAATATATTTCCGTGGTGTGGCGAATTAATGAGCGTTACGTGTTAGTCGGCAGACAGCCAGCACTCTGACGTCACTGTTTATATGCGAGAACTCTGCAGATTTTTGTCTAATATGGTGTATTAAAAACTAGATTATATGATATCGATAGATTATCTGATAAAAACATAACTGAAAATAACGAATATCTGTCTGAAAGTCAAAATATTAATATCTAATGTCAAACGTCAAATTAGCATGTTCAGGGGTCTTAGTCAAGATGCCTTAACAGTAGTGTATGTAGAAAGTCGAAAACTTAATTTGTATGGAAATGACAGTTCGTGTCGAAAAGTTTTCATACAAATTTAGTTTTTGACGTTCTACATACACTACTGTTAAGGCATCTTGACTAAGGCCCCTGTTCTTTAGTCTTCAACATAAAGTTTGATATTTTTCACAATGCTCAAGAAGTTTTGATACGAATTGGAATAATAATAGTGTTTGTTGTGATATTGAATCCATATCGCTATTCTGCCTAACTAGCTGTAAGTACACGGACAATAGAGCATAGACAAATAAGCTTAAAGGGAATTTTAATAACATCCTTATTTGGCGCAAAGAGAACGGAATTTATTTGCATGAATCATAAGATGCGTAGGCGCAACTATAGGGTTTCTGTCCACTAAAACATCGATAAATCCCGTTGATGTTTTGAATTGAAGCACTGTCACTATCTATGCATGTTCAAGGACGCCACAGCCAAAGACTCAGCGGAGTAATTTTTCCTATCATGTTTTTAAATTACGATTCTTATAGAAAAAAAACTTAAAAATAAGAAAAAAGCAAGTCAAAGCAATATATATTGTACTTGTGCATCAAAATTTCACATGAAGTTACTAAAAGATAATAAAATACACTGGAACCTATTTACATTTTAAACCGTCGTCGTGTGCGTCAACCTTAATTAATAGATAAAGCTTTCAAATGCATTTAAATTAATCGTAAATTATACTAACACATGCAACTTTCGCTTTTATGTCCATTGACTTATGTATTTAAATTATTTATGGCATATCCGGAGCGTAGGCTGTTTTATTTTTAGGGTCTTTACTGGCAACCATTAGTTGATTGCTTCTAATTTTATATTATCTGTATTGATGATGGTTTCTTCGCTCGATCGGATCGGGCTACCCTATAAACCCCTTTTTCAATAATTATCTGGATCAGCAGTTTAGGTAAGTCGATTACAATTATGGAGGAAATACGGTGTACTATTCCTCCAACCTAAAGGGAGGATCCTCGACCAGTTTAACCACTGACTGGCCGACCCGAAAGCCCCAGTGCCTACGAGAAGCTCTATATATCCATAGCCGCCATAATATCTTCGTTAGTGGAGGGTATGACGTCACCGCAATGATTTGTTAGCGCAGATAGTAAATGTCGCTACACAATAATTATAATGTAACAAAACCCAATTTCGATGCCTTTCAATATCATCACGTGGTACGAAAACTTACTATTAAATCGTCTAAAATAACAGATAACCCTTCATATAGGGACAGTAAATCTTTAAATTATTCTAGTTGTTAAGACGCAAGCGAAATCTGTAGCTATAGGTATGCAATATTAGTTAAAAACTCTATGTTTGAAATATTATTATTGCTTGAAGCACCATGGTGTATGGTACATTTTTGTGTCTAATATCATCTTAAGACCTCGGGATTCAAACCCACGGAGACGCGGGTCAATGGTACCACGAAGTAAAGCTAGAATATATTTCTAATTATTTGTGTTTCAGAATTGGGTGTAATGATTTATTGAATTTGTACAAATTAAAATATTAAATTAAGTGTCTGATTTGATTACACATAGCCATAGCATAGTTAATGACGCTCGCATTTTGGTATATTATATAATAAGGCAATTTTGGAGTTCATTTATACTGAAATGCGTAATGAACGCACGTATTTCTCGAATTGTGAAACTATTACCAATTTTACGTGTGTGTTCACAAATAAAATTATTTAAATTAGATAATAAATTGTTTAAATGACTAATTTCCCATTACTGGTGATCTACTGCTAACGTATAATGGGGCACATTCAGAAATAGACGATAGAAAAAGCAATTAGCTGCCTGTACCTACCAAAACAAAACAAATATTGTTTGGCTGGGAATCGAAGCCGATTCTCTGGATCACATACGTATACGTCGTGCTGGTAAACCACTGAGTCACGGAGGCGATAATTTTATTAAAGGGGAATATTATCTATCTATCTACTAAGATGTCTGTTACTAAGTTGTTGTAAAAAATAAACATTTAATATAATAATGAAACTTAATTAAATAAATGGCCCTTATCAGGCCAGAACGCGATGTACAATTAACATTAAAAAAAAACTTACAAAATAACCTATTTTAAATAAATAATACTCACATAGACTATGATGATTATTAAATAATGTTGATTTTACCAAAGTATAATAGTTATATTTATTAATTAGTAGCTTCATTAATTATACACCTTAAATTATTTATTCCTTCAACGATCTTGTAAAGACTTTACGTGAATTCAGATAAAATACACTCTCTTTTCAAAATGTCAATTCAATAAAGGTCATAGATACGTCCTATTTGGTATTCACTATTAGCACGGTTTGTGAGACTTGACACTAACCTTATAAGAACGAGACGGTACTTCGGCGCTTTCGG